GGACCATGTTCAGTGGGTGGTTTGCTGTCTCAGAAGGATGCTGGAGGGAAGGAAAGACCGTTAAGATTTGAGAGTAGGACACTTAATACGGCTGAGCGTAACTACAGTCAATTCAAGAAGGAAGTGTTAGCTGTTCTCCGATGTCTAGACACGTTCAGACACTATATCTATGGGCGGCGGTTCATCTTGAGAGTAGACCCCACCGCGGTTGCCTCTGTCCTCTAGAATGACTTTAGTCTGACGGACCCGACCATCGCCCGATGGTTAGTACGGATTCGGCTATACGATTACACGGTTGAGAGAGTATCTGGTACTAAAATGCCGTGGCAGATGGAATTTCACGCATCCCTCTCGAGCGCCCGATAGTAGCTGGGGCTCTGACAATGGCAGAGCCGAGGCGCGCCGAGAGATTTCTAGTTAATCTTTACGAGGGCAAGTACTGAATGATCGGACTACACCTGACGGGAGAGGAGAGTCAAGATTCAAAAATCCGGAGGCAAGCAGCCCAGTACTGCCTTAGAGCGGGCCACCTTTTCCGAAGGCCAGTAGGGTCGAGAATGCCCTTACGAGTAGTCTGTGATCCTGAGGAGAGACAGACGATAGTTGCGGAGCTTCATGATGGAGAAGTCAGAGGACACAGGGGAGTTAAAGGAACCTACGAAAAGATACGCCGGCTGTACTGGTGGGAAGGACAGTATAAGGACGTCGAGAGGTACTGTATGACATGCGAAGAATGCCAGAAGAGAGCTCTTGTGAAATACAAAGAGCCACTTCATCCATCCTATCCGACCAGACCAGGAGAGAAGGTACACATCGATCTAGTGAAAATGCCGAGAGGGGTAGGCAATATGAACTGCGTCGTGAACATACGAGACAATTTCACTGGGTTCGTGGACGGTAGACCTATCAGGAGTAAGGCGGCAAAGGAAGTAAAGAACTTTGTCCTAGAGTACTTATCTAGGTATGGTTGTGTCAGCAAGATAGTGATGGACAGAGGGGCGAAATTCCTAGCCGACGAGGTTCAGAGCGTGTTTAGGAGAGCCGGTGCGAGAGTTTTGATAGCCACCGCCTATCACCCACAGTCGAACTCCCCAGTAGAGAGGGGACACCAGACTCTGATAGCGTCACTGTCCAAGTGGTGCAAGGGTAAGGACAGTGATTGGCCACGATATTTTCGATACGCAATATGGGCGGACAACGTCACGGTCCGGGCTAGTACTGGATACCCACCGTACATCTTTTGGTTTGGACGACATTGTCCGCTTCCCATAGAATTTCACATCGACAGCTGGACAACCATCGACTGGGCGGAGGAGATGTCCAAAGAGGAACTCTTAGCTGCCCGAACGAGACAAATAGCCTACGGTTTGGAAGATGACCTCATGACAGCGGCAGATCGTCTGGTAGTGGAAGGGGACAAGGGTAAAGAGAGATGGGATAAGAACGTGCGAATCAGGAAAGAGAGGGTGAGCGTAGGAGATATGGTCCTTCTCTACGATGCAGCGCTGGAAAGGACCTGGACCGGAAAGCTTGCCAATAGATGGATGGGACCTTACAGAGTGGTTGAGGCACTTGACTGGGGTGCATATATGATAGCAGAACTAGACGCATCTAAGTGGAAGGACCCAGTGGCGGGGGCTAGGTTAAAGCTGTTTAGGCCCAGGCCCACGCCCGCTTGATCGCTAACCAGCCCGAAAGGGAAAGGGAAAGCCATGATGGAGGATGAAGCCCCCTTGAAGCAATTTGAGGCAAGGGAGGGTTCCAAGAAAAGGAAAAGGATAGAGAAGAGAAAGGTCAAAGGGTTAGCTTTAGGAAGAGAGAAGAAATGGTTATTCGTGCTCAAGCGAGCTAGACGGAGAGTTCGCGTTAGACGTACTGGCGGGTCGACACCCTTCTCGGGACAAAGACAGAAGAAAAAGAGGATCGTGCCGGGGCAAGAAAACAGAAGAAACAGGAGAGTTAAGAAGCATCTTCTTAGCTCCATGACTCATAACAAACTGAAACATAAGACAATTGAACGCCGACATGGGCGTCATTTACGGACCATCACCCTGAAGCTCGTCCGCTTCGTCTGACGTAAGTTGCTAGGGCTCGACAGGGGAATCGAGAAGTGGTCCAGACTAACTGTCAGGCGGCCGCAAGCAGTGCGCCGCCTGAGATCTGCAGTTTTGGGACTTAGGCTCAGGGACGAGGCCGTGTTTTGATGGTGCTCTCGTATGACCAGGCAGCAAAAATTAGGGGAACTCAGGGCGCCCCTGATTCTAGGCGCACTGAGCCTTACGAGTAATCCTCAAAGATGGCGAGATAAGTGGCCACACTCGGCGCATCTAGGGACTGTCATTCCCGGCTGTTTAGAGAGCTAGACTCGGATTGGCCTGT